GTAATGTCTCTGGGAGAAAGGAAGCTGAGTGGGAAGAGATCTCTGCGCCGTCTGGGACTTACTAAAGTTTTTTTTTTTATGTGCAGGGGTGTAAATTCCGAGTGAAAAGAAGATGGTCCTAGAGTCTTACGTTATGCAGGAACTCATCAGTTTTTTCAGCAAATAGCTTCAATCTGTCAAAAGGAAGGTAATCAACTGTATTTTGGACTTCTCTCAGAAACCCCGAGAGCTAAAGCCCTCCTTATGACTGGGATCGTCTCACAGCATGAAAGGCAGTGTTTAAAATTTGGAGGACTGGGCATGCTCTCCCACCATTTAAGTTTTCCTAAGAGGAGAAAATAAAGGGGAAAGGACAACGGTCCTTACACTAAAACTATAACAAAATATATGTATATATATGAATACAAAAATTAAATATTTTAATTTTGTTTTAAGTTATAGAATTGCTACAACTAATACAAAACCCACACTAAAGTACTAACACTAAACTAGCTAGTTAGATAAGAGAAAAAAATACAGTTGAGGTAAACTCAACTCAGACACTGTTGAGGCTCCATCTCAGGGCAAGGCGGTTGAGAGGAAAGGTAGGGCAGTTTGCCCACACAGCTCTTTATAGCCACAGTACAGAGCAAAAGGCTCCATGGGGTGCATGCGTGGGCTGAACAGGCACTGCTACCTAAAATCTCCAATCAGAGGCACATAGGGCGCATGCGCACCTAGAGTGGAGCACCCATAGGGACACTCATCTTGAAGAAGAACAAGACATTCTTAACCAAGTTTACGTGGCATGTGGTCCCAACTACTTTATTTCCTTTCTCTCCTGCCTGCACAGTAGATCTCTTGTCATTGTTCACTGTCAGCAGACTTTTAGATAATGTAACACTATTTACAAAAATTACATTTTATCATTTTAGTTTTTCATTTAGATCATTATTTATTGTTAGTATTATTGTTGAGAAAATAGTATTTGTTCTCTCCTCAAGTATCTGCATTTTGGCTGATCTGGAGAGGAAGCCAAGATGTTAGCTACAGATAAATATTGTTAGGTGTTTGTTTTAAATGGATGTTCTGCTGAAGAGTGGACACCCTCTGCTGCTTACTGAAAACCAGTTCCTTTGAGAACTGTTCCTCATCTCTTTCAAAGGAAGTAAAATAAAATCTTTGCACACAAGCCATGTCACTAATTATACAATGTCAGGTGTTTATTTAAATTATTTTAATAGATTATAGTAAGTTTAGGCCTTAACATAGGTTATCATAATTTCAAATTCAAGTTTAAATAGGTTTATTTTTAAAAATAAAAAAGTACCTAATTTAATTTTTAAAAATCTTATATTTTTTCTTAATCCTTGATTTTTATCCACCCTGCCTGGCACCATCAGTGTCCACTTCCTGAACACTATAGTGCAAATAAGTGATGATCACATAAACACCACCCTATACTGGAAACCTACTGACTGCTATACTTACCTACATGCCTCCAGCTTCCATCCAGGACACATCACATGATCTATTGTCTATAGCCAAGCCCTAAGGTACAACCAAATTTGCTCCAATCCCTCAGACAGAGACAAACACCTACAAGATCTTTATCAAGCATTCTTAAAACTACAATACCCACCTGGGGAAGTGAGGAAACAGATTGACAGAGCAAGACGGGTACCCAGAAATCACCTACTACAGGACAGGCCCAACAAGGAAGATAACAGAACACCACTGGGATAACGTACAGCCCCCAGCTAAAACTTCTCCAGCACATCAACAACGATCTACAACCTATCCTGGAAAACAATCCCTCACTCTCACAGACCTTGGGAGGCAGGCCAGTCCTTGGTTACAGACAGCCCCCAAACCTGAAGCAAATACTCACCAGCAACTACACACCACACCACAGAAACACTAACCCAGGAACCAATTCCTGTAGCAAACCTCGTTGCCTACTCTGTCCCCTACTCTAGTGACACGATCATAGGACCCAACCACATCAGCCACACCATCAGGGGCTCATTCACCTGCACGTCTACTAATGTTATATATGCCATCATGTGCCAGCAATGCCCCTCTGCCATGTACACTGGCCAAACCGGACAGTCCCTACGTAAAAGAATAAATGGACACAAATCAGACATCAGGAATGGTAACATACAAAAGCCAGTAGGAGAACACTTCAATCTTCCTGGACGTTCTATAACAGATTTAAAAGTAGATATACTTGAACGAAAAAACTACAGAAACAGACTTCAAAGAGAAACAGCAGAACTAAAATTCATTTGCAAATTTAACACCATTAATTTGGGCTTGAATAGGGACCGGGAGTGGCTGGCTCATTACAAAAAGCAGCTTTGCCTCTCCTGGAATTGACAACCTCCTCATCTATTATTGGGGGTGGACTACATCCACCCTGATCGAATTGGCCCTGTCAACACTGGTTCTCCACTTGTGAGGTAACTCTCATCTCTTCATGTGTCATTATATAATGCCCGCATTTGTAATTTTCACTCCATGCATCTGAAGAAGTGGTTTTTTACCCACGAAAGCTTATGCCCAAATAAATCTGTTAGTCTTTAAGGTGCCACCGGACTCCTTGTTGTTTTTGTGGATGCAGACTAACATGGCTACCTCCTAATACTTGACACTATTCTATAAAAGAAATCAGAAAGGCTTCACAGTGTGACCTCAAGTTTAGACCCTGACTCTGGAAAAGGGAGTGAAGTCCAGAGCTGAGTTATATACTAGACTACACTTTCATACAACTTTCCTTAAACAACAGGAAACCTTTTTTGTATAAAAGAAAAATAAATCTCTTCTGGAAATTAGGTCTGACTATTTATTTTAGAGTGCCAGTACAAAGCAAAGTATCTTCAAAGGCCCTCAGCTCCTGTATCTGCTTTCTAAAAAATGAGTTCACACCACAAAAAAAGCAAGCAAAAGTACATACATTTGAAGTATTCCTTCGGAGAATGGAGAGTAGTTTTCTCTGTGCAGCAGCAGCCGCCCCCTTCCTAGAAGATTGTACTCTTTATATGTTCTTTCAGAAAATTGGATGCCACAATCCCGCCTCATTCCCTTGAGCTCCTGTGGGTCCTAGCTTTCCAAGCCACATGTAAATGGCTTCTTAAGAACAGGGGACAACATAACTACAAAGGCATCCTCTTGGACTCTATAGAATCTGTGCAATCAGTCACAAGGCTTTCAGTGCCAACAGCCTGCTACCGGCCCCATTCTATTGAAGTCTGGGTGTGTCATTCCAACCGCTGTGGCATCACAGAATAAGAGAGATGACCTTTTACAAATTACTGATATACAGAAATAGCTATGGAAGGAAAGTACAAAAAGGTAGGTTCATTGAAAAATGGGAGAGAACTAACTAATGATTCAAATGACAAATTTTGAATTATTTTTAAAGAATTCTAGCTGAATTATAATCTTAGGTATTATCTGTAACTATGACAATGATTAGAGAAAAATTCTATTTTTCAATATGCCAGTTTTGTGTATAGTCAGCTTCCCTGGCTCTCCCAGTTAATTTTCCTTGTTGCTTGTGTGCATCTTTTACAGGCGATAAGGATGAGAAAACCTATTTTTAAAAATCAGTTTTAATACCTGAAATTACATTTAGCTCATTTTAGAAAATGACTAGTCTTCTAGTTGACACTTATATCTGTATTAAATAAGAAAAATAATAAGTTGGTAAGGAATGAAGAATCAGTATCAATCATTCATTACAAGCAGATTCAAGAATGCTTTGAAATTTTGAACATATAAATTTATTAGCTCGTCTGGATGAATTCTAAGGTTTAAAAAAATTACACTAAATGCTGACTATATTTAAAATAATCATGGTCCACACAGAGGCACTGGAAGACCAGAGAAAACCAAATATAATGCCAGTTTTCAATTAGGGAAAAGAACAATGACTTCTATCCTTGCTAAAATATTGGAACACACATGAACAGAAAAAATTTTACTAAACATCTACAGGATAACAAACCATGAATAAACAGCACATATTTATAATTAATACATTATTGATAAATTATAAGGCATCTGGTAACAGTCAAGAGATGTAACACAACTGAATTTTAGTAAACCTCTGATACCAAGTCTTGTGATAGAGGACATCATATTATACATGACTTTGAAACTGATATGGAAACAAAAAAGGCCACCAGAGATTTAGCTTGTCAAACAGCAGGATGGCAACACTCCTCTTTATACTCTTCTCCTTCACTTCTACACCACTATTGTCTTGCTTCTTCATTGCTTCATGAGTAATTTAGTCTGCATGCTCTTTGGAGCAGGGGGCATGTCTTGTGTCTCTATGACATCTAGCACATTTCCGAATGGCCAATGAAAAACTAACATTAACAACATACAGCTATGTTGTAGGAGTCTGAGGCACATGACTTACGAGGAGGGGCTGAGGGTACTGGGGTTATTTAGTCTGGAGAAGAGAAGAGTGAGGGGGGGATTTGATAGCAGCCTTCAACTATCTGAAGGGGGGTTCAAAGGAGGATGGAGCTAGGCTGTTCTCAGTGGTGACAGATGACAGAACAAGAAGCAATGGTCTCAAGTGGGGGAGGTCTAGGTTGGATATTAGGAAACACTATTTCACTAGGAGGGTGGTGAAGCACTGGAATGGGTTACCTAGGGAGGTGGTGGAATCGACATCCTTAGAGGTTTTTAAGGCCTGGCTTGACAAAGCCTTGGCTGGGATGATTTAGTTGGTAATACTATTTTCAACTTGAGTGCCTTATTTTGCAATCTTAGCATTCCATTTATGCTAATTTTTAGCATGAATAAAGTGGGAAACTTCCATTGTGCAATTAAAAATGGGAAATATTTTTAATTTTGGAAAATTCAACATGAACTAAAATTTTACCAAAACTAATTATTTTAGAACAAAATAAAGTTAAAAACACTAAAGAAATTAAGTGATTAGCAGAAGAGACATTGCTATATGGAAACTTTCAAATATTGCGTATTAATGCATTATTTACCTTGGCTGTATACTCAGCTTTATAACTGTCTTGCGTGGCAGAGAATCTTGTGAGGATTGATCATCATCCTACAGGGCAAAAACTTTAAATTTACATTTCAATGAATATAGAGCAAACTAAAAATCATACATTTCAGTTTTGGAAGAACCAAGACACAAAAATGCACTATCCACATGACACCAATAGTGAGTTCCAATGAAATCTAATTTACCACAATATTCAGGAAGACACTAGTCCCCACCTCATCAGATAATCATCTCCAACTCCATACTTAAGGCAAGAAGATTATGAACATACCTGTCTAAATAGATTTTGATAGAAAGGAAAAATGTATACTTATTCATCCAATTTGAAATCATTGTTCCCATTAAGTCATTTATTGTTATTCCCAACCTTCACACTCATTGACACCTATACAGGTTTCTACAAGTGTGTACTAGACATTCTAATCACTAATAAAGCTGGTGTGGTTTACAAACAGCTTCAGTGCATTGAAATTAACTTTCTATTGCTGGAAGTTTACCCTTTCCAGCACTATAGTCCTACAGTTTAGTTGCAGAAGCCATAGGTTTACTCTTTGTTAGAATTCAACAAACTATTCTCTCCCTGCTCCACCACCCAAGTTTACACACACACACACACACACACACACACACACACACACACACAAGAAGGGGAGGGAGGATTGTGGGGGCCTCCAGATAAATTAAGGTTTGAGGGTTTTTTTTAAACGAGGTGTTGGTTCATCAGCAGGCCAGTATACATCAGTAACAGTGTAAGTTTATGCAGTAAGCACTTTCAAAAACAGATTTATTGCCTAAACTCCAGAATCTCTCTACAAAATGCTGAGACTGTTTGCCTGTCCTTGCACAAGGAGTCTTTATATAGCTCCCCCTTATGATCATGTCACTCTCTAGTAGTCACAGCCTAAAGAAGGTAAGTTTTTTTATACTACATAAGCAGTAACATTCGTGTTACTGCTAGTAAATCATTAAGGGTTGTGGCCTACAGCGCTCCATTTTGTCTTAAAAATGTGAATGAATATAATAAAATAAACAAAACACACCTTCTAAAACTGACTTGATAAGTTCACACCTATAGGTTATTTATACTGGGAGTAGCAGCCATTATACTTAAAAATAGTAAAATGGCTTTCATTAGAACTCTCTAATTTCAATTACTCAGACTATTCTCAAAAGTTCACCTCTATGGCTGAAATTTTCCATGTTTGGTTTCTACCCAAAGTTATGTTCTTAAAGGTCTGAGTAAAACTGCCTGGAAGAGATGCTCAGCTAGGATCTGTGACAACCTCTTTCTTTGCATCCCTCCACTGGCTCCCCCTTTTCTATCACACCAAATGTAAACTATTTGTCTTCATTTTGAAAGCTCTTCATGGCGTATCCCCACCCTACCTATCATTTCTCATTTACTATCAAAATGTTGACTCCACCTCCATAACTCACCCTGGTTACATTTTCAAACAAGCACCCTTTACTTTTTGCCATGCTGCCCCTCATGCTTCAGAGAAGCTCCCCATAAACATTCACACAGCTACCTTATTATTCTCCTTCAAATCACTCCTTAAAACTCTCGATTTCCGTGGTATCTACAAAAAAAACTTGACAATGGTTATGCCATCGGTGTGGAGAGACTATGGCCTACCATGCTGACCAATACGGTCTCATTGTTTCCTTGTACTCCTTGTGTCTCTGTATCCATCAGTTGTCCCTTGTCTGATAAGATTGTAAAGGGGAAGGACCATCTTTCTGTGCTATGTTTGTACAGTGCCTAGCACAATGGGGTTCTGGTCCATGACTAGGACTCTTACATGCTATGGTAATAACCATACTCCTATACTACACTACTATAAAAAGCAACAGAGGGTCCTGTGGCACCTTTAAGACTAACAGAAGTATTGGGAGCATAAGCTTTCGTGGGTAAGAACCTCACTTCTTCAGATGCAAGTAATGGAAATCTCCAGAGGCAGGTATAAATCAGTATGGAGATAACGAGGTTAGTTCAATCAGGGAGGGTGAGGTGCTCTGCTAGGAGTTGAGGTGTGAACACCAAGGGAGGAGAAACTGCTTCTGTAGTTGGATAGCCATTCACAGTCTTTGTTTAATCCTGATCTGATGGTGTCAAATTTGCAAATGAACTGGAGCTCAGCAGTTTCTCTTTGGAGTCTGGTCCTGAAGTTTTTTTTGCTGTAAGATGGCTACCTTTACATCTGCTATTGTGGCATTGCGTTCTGCACGACTTAGGTTATGAGGCAACCGATGTTGTTTTTCCACAGTTTCTGCCTGTGCACATCGCTTGCCTCATAACCTAAGTCGTGCAAACACAATGCCATCCACAGCCTCAGAAACCACCCTGACATTATCATCAAAGAGGCTGATAAAGGAGGTGCTGTTGTCATCATGAACAGGTCTGACTACCAGAAAGAGGCTGCCAGACAACTCTCCAATACCAAATTCTACAGGCCACTTTCCTCAGATCCCACTGAGGAATACACTAAGAAACTGCACCATCTACTCAGGACACTCCCTACACTAACACAGGAACAAATCAACATACCCTTAGAGCCCCGACCGGGGTTATTCTATCTATTACCCAAGATCCACAAACCTGGAAATCCTGGACGCCCCATCATCTCGGGCATTGGCACTCTCACTGAAGGACTGTCTGGATATGTGGACTCCCTACTCAGACCCTACGCCAGCAGCACTCCCAGCTATCTCCGTGACACCACAGATTTCCTGAGAAAACTACAATGCATTGAACACCTCCCAGAAAACACCATCCTAGCCACCATGGATGTAGAGGCTCTCTACACAAACATCCCACACACAAATGGAATACAAGCTGTCAGGAACAGTATCCCTGATGATGACACAGCACAACTTATTGCTGAGCTCTGTGACTTTATTCTCACGCACAATGTCAAATTTGGTGACAATATATACCTCCAGACCAGTGGCACTGCTATGGGCACCCGCATGGCCCCACAATATGCCAACATTTTTATGGCTGACCTGGAACAACGCTTCCTCAGCTCTCGTCCACTCACGCCCCTTCTCTACCTATGCTACATTGATGACATCTTCATCATCTGGACCCATGGGAAGGAGACCCTGGAAGAATTCCACCATGATTTCAAAAGCTTCCATCCCACCATCAACCTCAGCCTGGACCAATCTACACGGGAGGTCCACTTCCTAGACACCACAGTACAAATAAGCGATGGCCACGTTACCACCACCCTATACCGAAAACCCACTGACCGCTATACCTACCTTCATGCCTCCAGCTTCCACCCCGGACACACCACACGATCCATCGTCTACAGCCAAGCACTGAGGTACAACCGCATCTGCTCCAACCCCTCAGACAGAGACCAACACCTACAAGATCTTCACCAAGCATTCTCAAAACTACGATACCCACACAAGGAAATAAAGAAACAAATCAACCGAGCCAGACGTGTACCCAGAAGCCTCCTGCTACAAGACAGGCCCAAAAAAGAAACCAACAGAACTCCACTGGCCATCATCTACAGTCCTCAGCTTAAACCTCTCCAACGCATCATCAGTGATCTACAACCCATCCTGGACAATGATCCCTCACTTTCACAGACCTTGGGAGGCAGGCCAGTCCTTGCCCACAGACAACCCGCCAACCTTAAGCATATTCTCACCAGCAACCACGCACCGCACCATAACAACTCTAACTCAGGAACCAACCCATGCAACAAACCTCGATGCCAACTCTGCCCACATATCTACACCAGCAACACCATCACAGGACCTAACCAGATCAGCTACAACATCACCAGCTCATTCACCTGCACGTCTACCAATGTTATATATGCCATCATGTGCCAGCAATGCCGCTCTGCTATGTACATTGGCCAAACTGGACAGTCACTACGCAAGAGGATAAATGGACACAAGTCAGATATCAGGAATGGCAATATACAAAAACCTGTAGGAGAACACTTCAACCTCCCTGGCCACACAATAGCAGATGTAAAGGTAGCCATCTTACAGCAAAAAAACTTCAGGACCAGACTCCAAAGAGAAACTGCTGAGCTCCAGTTCATTTGCAAATTTGACACCATCAGATCAGGATTAAACAAAGACTGTGAATGGCTATCCAACTACAGAAGCAGTTTCTCCTCCCTTGGTGTTCACACCTCAACTCCTAGCAGAGCACCTCACCCTCCCTGATTGAACTAACCTCGTTATCTCCATACTGATTTATACCTGCCTCTGGAGATTTCCATTACTTGCATCTGAAGAAGTGAGGTTCTTACCCACGAAAGCTTATGCTCCCAATACTTCTGTTAGTCTTAAAGGTGCCACAGGACCCTCTGTTGCTTTTTACAGATTCAGACTAACACGGCTACCCCTCTGATACTATAGAAGAGTAATACTGAAAACTCGGCATGAGGCATGACCACAGCACAACTGCCCTGAAATATATTTCAGGGGAGGAAGCAATTGCCTGAAGTAAATGTAACAGTTAACTGTTTAAATCCCTGAATGCACTTCCAGATTACATTTTCTTTCCAGCCAGTAAAAAAGCTTAATACATATGTAATGATTTGGGGAAATCTGTGCGCACAATTTGTGAATGCTGGGTGAGATTATAAAGTCTCTGTACGTATCTTTACCAAGCTGCAAACTTCATTTCAAATGTGCAGTACTCTTTGCCTTCTCTGTGGTCTGTTTGCCCCCATCTTGGACTAGAATTCCAGAGGTGGATGGCAAAGGTCTAGTAAAAGAGAGTTGTTACGTGCCCAAGCATTGAAATGTAATCGCTCTTGAGAAAAGACTGGCTCCCAACCAGGAGAGCTGGTTTATTAGGGGAGAGGTTTCCTAGCTCCAGCCCAAGCCCAGATGTTTACACTAAAATTTTAAAGCCCTGCAGCCCAAGCCCTCCAAGCCCAAGTCAGTTGACAAGGGCCAGCTGTGTTTTATTGCACTGTGTACATGCCCTCAGGGATCTAGAAGCAGGATTCCTCTCACAGCAGAGTAATGAGTGCCCATGAGGGTGCTCTTGATTGGATCTGTGTCAACACAGATGCTGACCAAATTAACATGTGCCTTAAAAAGTTCAAGTAATTAAAGATATGTAAAAATAAAACTGTGTAAATATATATGAATGAAAAAATATTTCAAGATGTTACCTATGCACGTTGCTGATTGTAGAAACATTTTCATGTATTATATTAAATTATTTAAGCGTCATATGACCATGTAACTAGAGACTGCACTGTATCACTTATGTGCAAAGGCACAGAGTTAAGATGTGTATAACCTTAACTATGTTATTTTCTGTCTTTACAGTGTTTAACCAGGCAATTTTAAAATATTTCTAACAATAACAAAGAATTTGGTATGGAATAATATAGTTTGTTAAAAGATGATGGACACTATTCCTTTAGTATGTTTGTCTTCTGAAAAGTGACTCTTCAAAAGTGACCTGCAGGAATTTTGAGGTCATTTTTTCTCAGTGGATTCCCATATCAAATTCTCTCAATTTACAAATAAAAGTATGTCTGTGCTATAGTCCAATTCTGCAAATTCAGCCTGGGCTCAGATTCAAGATGGGCTCTTTCTTCCTCCTTCATTATCACAAGTAATTATGACCTACAAGTCAAGTTAGGCCCACAGTTACACTTGTGCAACCTCACTATCATCAATTTTCACAAGCAGCAGGTATAGATAATTGGAAAATAGACAAAAAATTATGTTGATAATGCACAACATGAAACAGAGTCCAATATGCTCACTTTCAGCCATGTAGGTTCTGCAGGGCTAACTGCAAAAAGTAGTAAAATCTATTTTTGCTGTCAACACCACCTGTAATTCAAACTACATACAGAGACCAAATCAGTTGAGTAAGAAGGGACCATCTTTACATAGATAATTTTCGAAGTAGAAGTCGAACTTCTTCACATCATTCATAATCAGTCTTAAAATATTATTCATATAACTTTTAAAAAATACCAAAAAGGTAAATAGGAGAACTCACCATCTTAAGGAACGGAGCTGATGGGTTGTAGCTGTAGGTATCTTTGTCTTTTAGGATAAGAATATGAGCAGAGTCAATGATCACTCTCTTCAAATTCATTAATGAGTGGAAAAGCCTGTCGATTGAATTTTCAATTGTTACTAGTTTTGAGATGATATGTTTATAAAAAGCCATTATAAGACCCTTGGAAAAAACGATATAGAAATATTATTAACTATTAAAAGTATTGCTTTAGCTGAGTCTAATTTTTTATTCTGACTTAAATTTCCAAAAATGACTAGTTATTTTGGGTGCCCAACTTGAGATACCTTGAAAGACCCTAATTTGGCGGAAGCACTAAGCACTTGTCTCCTGAAAATTAAACCCTCACTTTACCCTGTCTCAATTTGGGCACCCAGAAATCATCACCATCCTTGCCACACTATCAGAAGCGTATGGAAGAAGGCAAATGGCCCTAATCATCCCTACCCTGGGCTCCTGTGTCTAGTGCTTTCATATTTAGCTGAAATAATGCTGCTACAGCCATTATTGTACTACAGAGTGTGCCTCTAGGTCAACTTCTCCATCTCCATCAAAGCAATTTTAGTTTATGTAGCATATTACTGGGCATTCTTAAAAGATGTCCAAAATATGCCCAACTTTCTTAGGTACTACTTGCCTTGTATGTAGGTGTGTCCACTCTAAGCCCTCCTTCATTATATATAATCAGTTCATTTTACTTTGGGTAGTCTATGCAGACAACTGCACTGAAAGCGGTTTCAAATTTGCATGGGATAGAATTACTTTTCCAGGACTCTGCTCCACAGAAGATGATACTTAAGGTCTTTATAAGCATTCAGTGTGATGTTTTTGCTACTCACACTGGACTTCCATACAGCATAAAGTTTTTTAAATACAGCACTTGTGTTACTTATTCTGGGGTTCGTATCAGACACGTAATCAGCAATATTGTGGATGACGCTACCCAGATAAGCTTATTGTTGGTTTTCCCAGCTTCACCTTCCCTATGGGTGCTCCACTGTAGGTGACTCCACAGCAGTACCGCTGATGGAGGAATGGGGCTTCGGATTCGAATCTATAACTGATGCTAATATTGTGGAGCCAAATATAGCATGGGATGATGAGCATGGATAATTGCATAATGTTTTGAAAACGTATGGGCAGACGCCCAAGTTTCTGCCCTGCATATTTCTGATGAAGGCTACAGAAGTGGAAAGAGATCTCATGAAATGAGTTCAGACTCCAGATAGGGATTGCAGATTGCGGGCATGAGAGCAGTAGTTAATACAGTTCGATATCCACCTGAAGAGTCTCTGATTTGATATTGCGGATCCCTTGGATCTCTCTGCAATTGAGAGGAATAGTTTAGGATAGTGGTTTTCAACCTGTGGATTGCGGACCACTGGGAAACCACAGACTATATCTAAGATTTTTCAAAGGGGTCTAACATCTCCATTCTAAATTTTTTAGGGGTCCTCAAATGAAAAAAGGTTGAAAACCACTGTTTTAGGAGATTCCTGGAGTCTTTCGTTCTATCCAAATAAAATGCCAAAGCTCTCCTGACATTGAGTGTATGCAATACTGCTTCTCTGTTGTCACGGTGCGGCTTTGGGAAGAAAATATAAGCCTCAATTTGCTCTTTTAATGTTTTTTTGATAGAAGTAACGGTTTGTCCTTATCCAATGAATACTCAGTCATCATATTCTAAGGCTCCTCAGGCACTTTTACTCTTGAATATTTTGATGTGACTATTGTTTAGCCTGGGTATCCAATTTTCAGTACCTCATGATCTTGCATTATGTTAGATGTCATAGCTCGTACTGTAAAGCAGAGGGAATGCAGAATAGCACAGATACAAATATGATGCTGGAGTTCTTTTTTTTTTTTTGTAGAGTTCATTTGATCCTCTTCTCCTTTGCACTGAAGAACTTCAGAATTTATCATTCCATGATAGGATGGCTTGGGAAAAGTCTGTAGAAGCTGCGAAAGTCTTTAATGCTGCAGACAAATCATCATCACACAGTCATGCTGGAGGACTACTTCTTTATGCTATCCATTCATTAAGCAGGAAGCATGCTCCCAAAAGATGTCAATGCTGCATTTATTATGGAGACTCAAGATGCCTCCATTTTGGGGAACCATACAAAATCTTAGCTCTTTGGACTGTGTAAAGTTACTGAATTTGCCTAATTTGGTATCAATTTCTTTTGGCACTTATTTCCTCTCTATCATCTTCCACAGTGAAGGGGAAGGCACACTTCCTACCTGCAATATAACACAAAATATTTGTATGGTCTTACTGTCCCCTCAGTCTTGTCTGTGTAGTTCTAGCTTTATCTTCTTCTGGTTATCTCACTGAAGTGTTGAGGTCCCCTTTTGATTATGTTCTGGAGGAAACAGTCTTTCTAGGGTTTATTCTTTGTATCAGAAGGGTAGGAGTGCCAGTACCTAGTTATAGCCTAAAGGAACAAGTGATGTTCTAATCAGAATGCCCTTAGTCCCTTTGACAATCAGTGAAGAATTAATTTATAGGCATCCATAGGGGAGGGATAGCTCAATGGTTTGAGCATTGGCCTACTAAACCCAGGGTTGTGAGTTCAATCCTTGAGGGGGCCATTTACGGATCTGGGGCAAAAATCTGTTCTGGGGATTGGTCCTGCTTTGAGCGGGGGGTTGGACTAGATGACCTCCTGAGGTCCCTTCCAACCCCGATATTCTATGATTCTATAGCAAATCAAGTGATACCAATAACACCAAGAGTTTGAATTTAAGTGCTCTTTTAGAAGGGTGCCTCATTTTCCTTATATTATAAACAGAGATAAAAGGAAGTGAATAATTTATAGAATATTGAACTCTTTCACATTCCATGCTTTAGAGAATGAATGGTAAATTGGGACTGATCCAGCTTTCCCTACCTTCCATGGCACAGATACACGTGGAGAGCAAATAGGAAAGTTTGGGGGATTTTTTTTTTTTAATATACTCTCTGAATGTAATAGTCAGAAACAGAAGAGAGTGTTTTAAGGGCATTATTTCAAACATTGGCTTATTTAATATAGTACTCTATCTCTACCAATAAGACATCATTCAGCAAGTTCACCAGTACCTACTTTTCATATTTTCTATACATAAAAATGTTCTAAATGAATCATTCGTTCAGATAGCTATAGGTGTGTGTGTGGGGGGGGTGTTTTAAAAGCAGTATCTCTACTTCGTAACTACTTATGAGAATATTACAAATTATTCTGTCAAAATATAGAGAAAGTAATTCACCTCCCAAACTTGACAAAGAATCAATCTACAAATGAGCTAATAAGCATAATAACAAGAAAATGATGTCCCAGGTTGAAGATAGGAAGTTATATAGTGGGAAAGACTAAGATAATCACATAATACCTAGTCAACATATATTTCTTGATCCGTTCGTAACAGTGGCAGAGATTTAATGCAGCAGTACCTAGTTTTGCTTTGAATGATAGCCCTGTGGTTAAGGTACAAGCTGCAGACTTTATCTTCAACCTTCCTTTGCAACCCCCATGCACACTGTAGCCTCTATGTGCCACAATTTCTTACTCTACAAAATTGGGGAAATAATTCCCTACTTCATACGGATATACTGAGATAGAAGAGAATATATCAAATAGTAGTAGTAATATTTTCTCAGTGGTATATATTTTGGTTGCTATATTAAAAATACAGTATATTCATAACACAAAAATACAAGAGAAAATAAATGTAAATATTTAAATGTAATTTAATGAGTACATTACCTAGTTCCATAATCCACAGCTACCCAATCTTTAGATGTTCCTGTGATGGCATCATGGTGCTGAAAGAGTCCTAGGTTCCTCCTAGCCTCAGTCAGCAATTTATAATGGTCCACTGAAGGAAATGCATTCATCTTGTCAGATTTTTTAGACTCTACTAGTGCCAAAGAATAAAGGATCTCAGCAGTTCTGGAAAAAATCAAAGAAAAAAATGAATGTAGCTACTTGTTTACACACAAACACGCACACACAAAGACAAACACACACTTTAAGAGCTCAACTACAGTGCTTTCATAGCTTCCCCCAAAAGTGGTCCTCTAGGTTCTTTAAACTAAAAGTTAAATTTTGTCAATTACAATATAATTCACTATTTACAAATAAAGCAACAAAAAGTTTATTTGCACAAATTTGTAATGATCAGTGATCAAACCTTAGTTGGATGCATTCAGGATAGCTTCTGTCTCAGAAGGAAAATTAAACTTTCAAGAACACACAACTTGTTTAACCAACAGAATTATCCCTCTCAAAAGGTACATACTGTATATATTGCATGCAGTATTCATGAAGTCTTATTTAATTTTTTAAGACATCCGTTTGGGTCTTAGTTTGGTCATTGAGAACCCAAACTTATTTTTTCCTAAATACCATAACAGTCAAAGTAAAAGATTATAACGACATATTCAAACTGTCTGAGGAAGGAATCCACCGACTGACCACCAGTACCAGACAAGATCAGATACCTCAAGACCCTGTACCTTAGACAAAGTAGACATACTACAGCTGGGTGCTCTCCTGGACCCTGAGTACAAAGTCCATATACACTCTGGACAGTTCAGGGGCACCTGGGGAAACTTTGTGGGCACCAACCACATAGGACATTGAGAATAACCCAGAGTGAGTGCCAGCCACAGCGTCCTCAAGTGGAGCAGAGCAGATGCTCTCCATAGGGGGCCGCAGCCACTTGGACCACACCCAGGACTCCAAGGAGGAATGAGAAAAGAAGGAAGTGGCAGCTGAAACAGCATCACTTCAGCCATGTAAAGACTTGATCCATGATTGTTATGGTTAGGGTAGACATGACATAAGGAGCTCATCAGTATCTCTGTAGAATCAATCTATACAGGCTTTAAAAATGTCACTTTGTATCGTCCCTTCAGGGCATGGAAAACACCATTCTCCACTCCCTTCCAGCATCCTGAAGGCAGGTTTCAGCTACTGCCTCATCTACAGTCATTGCTAGGCATGGGAAACAGCCATATCTCCACCCCTCCCCATTTATGCTGTTTGTATGCTCCCTTCTGAGTGTGAACCATCTTCTGCTCTCCCCCATCCCCTTTTGGCACCCAGAGGGCAGGATTTGGGTAATGATGTTTGCTGTTTCAATATTTCCTGCTGGACGCGGGAATCGGCATTACACCATCACCCTTAGTCTCCACTATCGGTCCCCTCCCTGGCATCCACATGGGATCCAAGATGGATTCCAAGGGGCGCGGGGGATTTAAACACTAACTGAGATTTATTGTAAAACACACTGCTGCACACATGGTCACCCACTCAAAAGGTCACTGACAGTCAGCACTAAGACCCAGAACCAGAGAAGAAGAAAGAGGAGGGCACCAGGACGTCCTTCTGATGAAAATGCATGGTGACTGGCAGACAGCATGACCACTTCTTTGAACTTGAAAGGGAGAATCTGAAGCAGGAACAGCAACAGAGAGAGGATGCAGGAGAGGGGATGAGTATATGGTGGCTACGTACATCCGCCATGACCCTGCCAGGAGAGATCAAGACCTCCAACACCAATGTGAGGTGAGGCAGCAGCAAATGTTTCTGAGAGTGCTGAGACTGCCCTACAGAGGAAAGGATATTTAACACATTCTTTTTCCAGTATCACCATCAAAATAAATGGACTTTCAGAGGCAGCTTTCTTATGCACAAATGCTGATACAGAGCCCACCAGCCATCCCTGCCCCTCCAAGCTGGGAAGGAGGACTGGGGAGCCACATGGAGAATAAAAGATTGAGCCACCTGTGCTTCTAGCCTCACAACAGCCACCTCAGCAAGCTGGGCAGGGGGGACTAGGAGATGAGCAGGGAAAAGCAATGTATCCTACTTCATCATTCAGAGCAGGATCCATGGCTTTCCACCAGAATGCAGATAACAAACACAAGTCGAAGTGGAATATTGTAGGAAGCTACTGTTCCACCCATGTGACCAGAACAGAAAAAACAGTTTACCAAAATAAACTGCAAGAGTTTGGAAGGAGTGGCTCAATACTGCAACACTAAGAACTAAGGGAAATGCATGAGATAACCTTTGCAGTGTGCCCACTCTCCCTTGAGCTACACTAGCTTGAGTGGAGTACCTAAAGGATACTAACTCAGGCTAATAATGCAATGAAGACAAGCCCTATGGCCACCAAAGAGGGCAAGTTAGAATTGCCTAACTCCCTTCAGTTTCTCTCTGCTACACTGAAGTACCTGTGGGGAAAAACAAGAAACAGCAGAGGTACAGGTTTTATAAAACACAGAAGAAAACACAAAAAAGGGAAAAGAAGAAAATAAAAAATCAGTATGAAGGTAAATACTGATAAAGATGAAAGAGGGAATAGGAACGCCAAAATGGCTGGAACGAAAGGCATAAAACAGGAAAAAGGAGAGAAAAGTATGGAGAGAAGATTAATTTCTTAAGTTTAATAAAGTTATTGCCACAACATACAGTAAAATGCACAAAACATATTTGATTTTCTATTTGTAACCTTTATGTTGAAATGCTCCCAACTAATATTAAGCTGTTAAAGATAAGGATGCTATAAAATCCAACTAAATTTTCAGGTTTGAGCCTCTAGGTTGATTACAGAAAATGTATTTAATAGAAGAGCACTGGCCAACACTTCGAATGATCCAGCCAAACTTTATTAAAAAAGAAAAATGATTAGTTAAGCAAACAGGCATGCAATTACTCCTTACACAAATGCTACTATTATACCCACACTCAAAGATGAAATGGTGTGTCAGTGGGATATCAGTCCACTGACAATAGTGTGAAGTACGGCATTAAAATCCTGGAACCTAACAGTACACTTTTGATGTTAATTGGAGCTATCCCTGAATTTAGCTAAACTAGTCCTTCTATACTCTGTTATACTAATAATTAACATTAAGTCTACCTTAATCATAATTGTATTTCTGCCACCTTCTTATTCTCTCTTTACATTACACATTATTTAAATTAACATGTGCATCAATGTCCTTCCCACACTCTAGATAGCATTTTAATAAAACATTCACAATTCTCAAAAACACTCATTAAAAACTTGGCTCAAACGATTATAACCAAAACATAATGGTAACATAACCCTGGGTCATGTCCTTGCTAACTCTTACTTTCTCATAACACACTGTCTACTATTTAGTTTGGACTTCTCACAATAGCAGCTTCAAATCTCATACTTCTCTGCCCTTAGGCTAACTTAGACCCAAAACCTAACTTCTATTTATTTATTAATTAACCCAAACTATTCTATGGACTACATATTAAAATATCTTATGAGCAGCCCATACAATTATACAAAAACTCCTCTCAATTTACTACAATACACACACACATACACTCTTCTGGTAAAGTGATGGGTGTGTTATGTTTCTATGTTGTGGGTTGCTCAAGAGACAGTGACCAGGGTACTCTTGTCTTTCAATCCCGCCTGGTTTGTTGTGTTGCAGTGGTTTGCTTTTTAGGTTTGTTTGCAGTGTTGTAGCAATGTTGGTCCCAGGATATTAGAGAGACAAGGTGGGTGAGGTAACAGAAGTTGGTCCAGTAACAGATGTTACCTCACCCACACTGTATGTCTGTTTATTTTTGATGGGGGGAGGGCAATGAGCATAGGAGTCAAGTGATATAGTAAGGTTAATGAGTCCCTGTGTGACACTGAAGAAGGGATTCTTCTTCCTCCATCCTGAATTGTGAGCTCCTTCTTTCCCCATGACCACCAGCATCTTCAGTCACAATAGCTTGTCCCTAAACTCCATGCTTTTCACAACTAATGGGCCACCCCAGTTCATATATCCAGTGGGTCCTTATTCTTAAATCCACTCAAGGTACTATAATAGATCCACATTCTTAGTTCACACTGCTTCTGAAGTATCACATTAGGTGAATTAATTGATCTCTTAGAGCAGTTTAAGGCTTTTGCTTTCCACACCAAAAAAATAGGTGACTGATGTGCGTTTCAGAAGGGTGTATCTGTAATATTGCAATCTCTTAAACCATGATTTCCTTTTAAACCTCAACCCTACTCTAAATTTTAAAGTGGATCAAATCTCTAAGGATAAATGAACTGAATGGATGAAAAACTACAGTATTTCTGAGAAATTTAAACTTAAGGAAAGCAATTTTCTTCTCTCTAACTTAATCTCAGTCTAAGGAAAGCTAGCAGAATGTCTCTTTACAGAAGCATGGATCAATATAGCATATCCCCTACCAGTAATGAAATTCCAGTAGTGAGAAAAATATCCGACACAGGGGATCTTAAAAATAAAGAAATAATTAATGTCATAGAAAGACAAATCATATCTAACCAAAATAAAACTCTTCTTGCCTTGTGTATTTCACTGGAGAACTATAAATAATCAATCCATAATTTATCCCCAAGCACTTTTATAAAATTAGCTAAGAATAGGACTTGAGAAATCCCAAAAGCCATTGAACATTGGGCAACAACTTTGAAATGAGCCACTTTGTTACTTATGCTCACAACTTTTGATCCCTCACTGATACAACCTGCCTCAAGACAGTAATGTTCGGCATGAAGTTATAGCATCGAAAGAAGACTATAGTGCACCTTTGCTAATCTCATTTGACAGATCTGATTTAACTAACACTGTGCAACTGCTCTAATGATCCGTGACAACTAACAACTCAGCCCTACAGCTCTTGAAATACAAATATTTTGCATAGTAAATTCAACAACTTTTTGAAAAATAATTAGTTGTAAAATTTTAAAAAATTAAGTGAACAGCCTGAACAATCACATTCATTTTAATTTCAATAATGTACAAGTCAAAAAAAGAATGTAAAATTCTCTCAGGGCTCCCCATTTGACTTCTGAAATTTTCTAATGGGTATTGGACAAATTATATTTACTCTATTCTAATAAGTACCACACTACACCTCTACCACGATATAACACG